CCGGCGACGGCCTGGACACCAAGGACGAGCACCCGCTGGCCCTGGGCGGCGCCCACCCGCTGGACGCGGAGTACGGCAGCCCCGAGCGCCGGTGCCCGCCCCCGCCCTACCCGAGGCACCTGCTGCGGCACAGCAAGTCGGAGCAGTACAGCCTGGACGGCCAGGGCAGCGGGGTGGAGCAGGGCCTCCGCGGGGGCCCGGCCGCCGAGCCCGCCGACAGGGGCGACAAGAGCCTCAAGAGCGACAAGGGGGACAAAGGCGGGAAGGACAAAAAGCAGATCCAGACCTCTCCTGTCCCTGTCCGCAAAAACAGCAGAGACGAAGAGAAGAGAGAGTCGCGCATCAAGAGCTACTCGCCATACGCCTTTAAGTTTTTCATGGAGCAGCACGTGGAAAATGTCATAAAAACCTACCAACAGAAGGTCAACCGGCGGATGCAGCTGGAACAGGAGATGGCCAAAGTAATTTCTCATTTAGTTCTAGCTAAAGCCCCTCGGCCTTCCCTAACGTGGTATGTAGAGCACAGCAGAATTCCTTTCGTGTTCCGGCTTTATCACAAACCCACCCCGCAGGCAACGGTCGGGTTATGGGGCCAGCAACTTAGAGAAATGGCAGGTGTCGCGGCCCCCCTTTCTCTTACCCCCTCGGACCCCTTCCCCTGACCTTCCAGGAGAATCCTGATAGCTGTGCATGATGTAGCTAACAGGTAAATCAGCAAATTGAATTTGATAGTGTGTCCTTGTTCTTTAACGAAATTCATCAAGAATGACTTAATAATATTATGACATTTTGATAGAGTAGAAACGAAGTTTGAGGTTTTATAAATTGAAATTGTAGGATTTGTAAGGAAAATTGTATCTGGTAGTGAACCATTTGTCCTTCCTTTAAATCTTTAATTAGTAAATTTTTAAAAATATTTACCTTATGTGACAATAAAGTACTAGAGAAGGTAAGTATTAATGAAATTATTTAAATTAAAATAGTAAATTTAAATCACACAAAGCCAATAATTCCAAATTCTAAACATCGACTTATGTTCTGCTGTCCCATATTTGTTGACTCTTTTCTGTTTTCCTGTTTTCCTTGAGCTATTAAACTATTACATTGCTCTTGGAGATCCAGGAATGTCATGGCTCCCTTTTCCCACAGGTTTTTATTGATAGAGGTTTCTCTTAGTGTTTAGAACCTAAAGTCACCTGGAAAAAGAACCGTCTGCTTTGTCTCACCTTTGGATTCCAGATTTGTGTCTGTACATGGATGTGAAGAACAAAGCTGGTTATTACCTTGCTTGTGCTGTATATCGAACCCACTCTTCGATATTCTGCTTTCTATAAGTTAAGTTAGGGGCCTCTCAGTTCCAGGGCGTCCCCCGCCCCAGTCATCTGCTGTCCTGGGACCCTCTGCCATGACTCTTCCTTCTTCTTTTCCGTCTGTGCAGGCTGGACTCTGTGAAGCTGAGCAGGAGCAGATGAGGAAGATCCTTTACCAGAAGGAGTCTAATTACAACAGGCTGAAGAGGGCCAAGATGGACAAGTCCATGTTTGTGAAAATCAAAACCCTCGGGATTGGTGCCTTTGGAGAAGTGTGCCTTGCTTGTAAGGTGGACACTCATGCCCTGTACGCCATGAAGACCCTGAGGAAGAAGGACGTCCTGAACCGGAATCAGGTGGCCCACGTCAAGGCCGAGAGGGACATCCTCGCTGAGGCAGACAATGAGTGGGTGGTCAAACTCTACTACTCCTTCCAAGACAAAGACAGCCTGTACTTTGTGATGGACTACATCCCGGGGGGGGACATGATGAGCCTGCTGATCCGCATGGAGGTCTTCCCCGAGAGCCTGGCCAGGTTCTACATCGCAGAGTTGACTCTGGCCATTGAGAGTGTGCACAAGATGGGCTTCATCCACCGAGACATCAAGCCTGACAATATTCTGATAGATCTGGATGGTCACATCAAACTGACAGATTTTGGCCTCTGCACTGGATTCAGGTGGACTCACAATTCCAAATACTACCAGAAAGGTATTGTCTTAGGCAAGGCACATCCACTTTCTACATCTAGACATAATTCAACCATCTAAGGCACCTATTCCCCATCCCAGTGGCTCCTAATCATTTTGAAATGATCTGTCATTCAATTATTTTATAGTTGGGTGTGACATTCTTCCTTCCCTAAAGGAATAGTATGATATGCATTTGATTTTTTTTTTTAAGTTGCTGGATTTAAGTTTAACTATATATGCTGTGGGGTGTCACGGGGCCTTTGTGGGGAACTGTCATTCTGCACTAACTTCCCAAGGAGTTCTCTTCTTACAGCTAACCTGGATCTACCTAAAGCATAGTTTAACTCCATTTCCTGTAGTTCCCGTATTTGGAAAAGTCAGAAACAGATGGTCATTATCTTATTTATGGCCTGGATTCTTGAAATAGTTATTTTAATATTATGGCTGAGACTTTTATTTTTTAACTCAAAACTAACCCTGTATCATTTTCATTTTCTGGCATTGAAGTCATTTTTGTTCATAATTTTAAAATTCTCTTAAGTTTTTCCATGTTTATCTTAAAACATGTCTTGTTAAACAGGTGTTAGCCTTTGATATTGGCCTGAGAAGTGCTAACAGTGATGTCCCCACAGTTCTTGAAGAACTTTCCTATTCATAGTGTCTCATTGCCAGCTCGGCATACGTGCAGTTTTCTGTTGTTGCTTCAGCCATTGTTTATGCCTGGTACTAGTGTTTACCTGGCAACTTGGGTCTCAGAGCCCAGGAATAGCCAGCTGCCCCTATAGGGCAGGTGGGGAGGATTCTTTGTCCTAATGTATCAGTAGCTGATTTGAATTACTTTTCTGTTTAAGCTATGAATTTGTTGCATTGTTGAAGAATACAAATTCACTTTGTGTTTTGTTTTCTTCTTTCACCACCCCAATTTGTGGGTGAAGGGAACCACATCAGACAGGACAGCATGGAGCCCAGCGACCTCTGGGACGATGTGTCTAATTGTCGATGTGGAGAGAGGCTGAAGACCCTGGAACAGAGAGCACGGAAGCAGCATCAGAGGTGTCTGGCACATTCCCTGGTTGGGACCCCAAATTACATCGCGCCAGAGGTGCTCCTCCGCAAAGGTACGTGCTTGGGCTGCTTGCCTGAGTGCTCCATAGCCAGCTGCCAACTTGAGGTGATCTTGACCTTCAGACCTGTTTCCTTAACAAGCCTCCAGCCTATCTCCTTTCTGTCTTGAAAGTGCCCTTGCTTCCAGGGGTGATGGAAGCATGCACTGTCAGGCCACCGTCTGCTCCACTAGGGCTTTCTACCTGGAGGCCAAGCGAGTGACTCTAGAACTGGTCTTTACAGAGTCAAATGATGTGAACAACTCCAAGGGTCACAGGATCACTGCTCAGTCTGCCTAACCCATACATTTCCTGGTTCTAGCTTTAATTCTTCCATACCCAGGCTTCTAGCTAAGTAGTACCATGTCCAGCTGGGTGTAGAGTCTGGCAGCATGCAAATATTGTTTTCCTCCAGTTTTCCCTGCTAGATCAGAGGCACCTGGAAGGTGAGATCTGCAAACAGTAGTGAGCATAAAATTTCAAGTGCTCAGTAAAATTTGTCTCCTGGATGGATACAAAAGGACTCCTCCACTGAGCTCATTGATTGGATTCTGTGCAGTAACTCCAGAGATGGCAACCCGTCCCTTCCCGTGTGTTGTTTAAACTTCCTGGAGCCAGCCAGACCCAGTTCAAGTCTAGATTTTCTTTGTTAGCTGTGGTAATCCAAGCAAGCTGCTTAACCACTCAGCACCATGCATATAGCAATAACTACCTTGAGAGGTGGATACTCACCTTGGTGGCCCATAAAAGTCTCATTTTCCACCGCCGTGTGCCACATTCCAGAGGAAACTAGCACTTGGAGTTATTCTGCAGCCCCCAGAGCCAGACTGGGACAGGAAGAGGTGGGAGGGAAGGATGGCAGAGCACTCTGAAGGGGCTGAACTGGCAAATGCTGCCACAGGCCACCCAAGGGCTGACCTCCAGCATCCCAGTTCATGCTTAGCAAGGACCTGGTGCCATCAAGATGAGCCTGGCTCAATGGGGACATGGGGCTGTGAAGGAAGAGTAGGAAAAAACCAAAGGTAAATGAACCTGCTCCACAGCCTTCGTGAGGCTGGCCCCGCCCAAGCCTAGACAAGAGCCCTGTGAGGAAGGCCTGGCTCCATTAGGGCCTTGCCATCATGTGTCCCCCTTTCCTCTTCCTTGTCCCCATATTCTTCAACTTTTCCCAAAACTGACTTAGAAGCCTCCCCTGGAAGTCCCCTGTGAACAGCCTCACCTGGTGATTCACAGGTCTTAGTACTTTACATTTTTCAGTTTCTGTTACTTAATTTGTTTCTATTTGTGTGATCTTTGAGAACTTAAAATACTGGTTAGTGACCAGTATTATTGCTAACAATATCAGTAATCTTTTTAAGTTAGGAAATCTTGTCTTACTACAAAAGCATCCTGTTTCATCACAGACTTAAGATTGAAAATAAGAAAGTAAAAGTGGCCGGGGCCCCCGTGACAACCTTTAGGGCTGGCATGAGTCCTTCCCAGTCCTCTGCAGGGAGATGCACACATGCAGGCCTGACTTCTCTCGCGTGGCGCGGTGCTGCTTCCGTGGGCTTTCCCACTCACAGTAAACCCGTATGTTCAGGGTTGTATAAGATTCACTTCTGAGGAGAATTCGTGCCTGTGTCGGGATTGAGTGAACCTTGTCTTTCAGGGTACACTCAACTCTGTGACTGGTGGAGTGTTGGAGTGATTCTCTTCGAGATGCTGGTGGGGCAGCCACCCTTTTTGGCACCTACTCCCACGGAAACCCAGCTGAAGGTAACGGGGATGGAAACGCGCCTCTGCTCGCTGCAAAGACACTGTGCTTTTCTGAGCACCCATGAACCTTTGGTCAGCATTTGACCTCTTATTCTGCATAGGGTAGGAATGGCAGTTGTATAAGATGGGATTTTTTAAGTAATATTATCATTATTTTAAAATTATTATTATCTATTTTTAAGATTTTTATTTTGATAAGTAAATCCACAGAGTTGGACCTGACTTTTGATATATAAATGTCTCTGAAATTTTATTTAAACCACTGGCCATCTGCCATCTCGTTCTGTCTAGACAAGAACTATAAACAGTGAGCAGCACTAGAGGCAGGTCCACTCCCTGCCTCCACCCATGCCTAACTTGCAAAGAGCAAACAAAACTTTATGAACTGTATCCAAAGAAATCAGTTTGTTTATTTGGATGCTATATTATTATTGTTTGCAGGTTGTCAGCTGTGTGGTCAGGCTAGTTGTGCATATTCCTAATATTCATTTGAAGTAGTTAAATAATTATTCTGTCAGTCATTTAATACTAAATAATTAGTTTCAGAATGACAGTCATTTGCTTTCTGTAATAAATTATTTAATTACTTAAGGATTGAACTGAGAATTTGAATTGAGAATTTGAAATCTTCAGTGGACTTATCTACTGACACACAGTTCTAGGAAGTTTTCATATGCCCTGGAGACCATGGTAGAGCCTAAATTAATAACTCTTTAATTAGAAAAACACTAAATTAAGGCTTAGCTTCATTCTAGGAACAGTAAAAGTAGAATTTGTCATTATCTGCATCCTAATTGAATTGCTAAACCGTTTACTAATTTGCCTGCATGATAATAACCGAGACTTTTTAAAATTGTGGTAAAATATGTATGATGTAAAATTTACCATTTTAACCATTTTTAAGTGTATAATTCAGTGGCATTAGGCATGTTTACAGTGTTGTACAGCGTCACTCTCAGCATCACCACTCACTCTCTATTTCCACATGTTTTCATCCCCCCGAGCAGAGACTCTGTGCTCATTAAACAGTAACTCCCTATTTCCCCCTCCCCTATCCCCTGCTAACCTCTGTTCTACTCTCTGTTTCTATGAACCTGACTACTTTAGATACCTCTTGGAAGTGGAATCTACAGTATTTGTCCTCTTGTTTCTGCCTTATTTTACTTGGCATAATGTCTTCAAGGTTCATCCATGTTGTGGCTTGTTTCAGAATAGGCTGTCGTCCATTGTACATACACTAGGGTACTTCCAAAGGTTCATGGAAAAGAAGAATTAAAAAATAATATGAACCTCTCCATGAACTTTCTGAAGTGCCCGCATGTGCAGTGTCGTTTTACTTATTGACCCACTGATGGACATCGGGTTGCTCCCGCCTTTCGCTCTGCAGTGCTGACATGAGCACGGGCGTGCACGTGTGTGTGAGTCCCTGCTTCAGTTATTCTGGATGTCTACCCAGGAGTGGGATTGATGGTCATACGGTCATTCTCAGTTTAACTTTCTGAGAAGCTGCCGAACTATTTCCCACAGCAGCTGTACCATTTTACATTCCTACCGGTAGTGCACACAGGTTCTAGTTTTTTCCCATCCTCGGCCACACTTGTTATATTTCCTTTTTTTTCTTTTAATAGTAGCCATCCTGATGGGTGTGAGGTGATACCACATTGTGGTTTTCATTTGTATTTCTCTAACAATTTATGATATTGGACATATTTTCATGTGTTTATTGGTCATTTGTAATATCTATTCAAGTCCGTTGCCTTTTTTTGATCAAGTTATTTGGGTTTTTGTTGTTGTGTTATAGGAGTTCTTCATATATTCTGGATATTAACCCCTTTTCAAATATATGCTTTGCAAATACTGTATATTCTCCTATTCCGTGGGTTGCCTTTTTATTCTGTTGATAATGTCCTTTGATGCACAAGTTCTTAATTTTCATGGTCCAGTTTATTTTTTCTTCTGTTTCCTGCGCATATTCAAGAAATCATTGCTAAATCCAATGTTGTGAAGATTTTACCCTATTTTCTCTTCTATGGGTTTTGTAATTTTAGCTCTACTAAATAACTGCTTAGGTTCAAACCAACCCTCCCACCCACCCACACGCTCACTCACTTCCGGGCCTTACCCACCGTCCCATCACCCAACCTGCAGCCAGTTCTATTGGCCTTGTTTCTTCCCGATTCTAAGTATACACAATAAAGACGTCCCTTGGGTTTCTTGTCACAGTAGATACACACATTTACTGACTGTCCAGATGGCTGCTCTGTGCGGTTGAGCATCACAGACTTCAGGCTAAGGCCGTGGTCAGCTCTATTCCTCCTCTCTGTGAGGTCACTTTTTTTGTTTTTTTGTTTTTTTTAACAAAACCTCAGTTGATCACCCGTCAGCCACAATTAGTATTGAATGAGAGTCATGAAATCCATTGCCATGGCTAAAGAAAATAACTCAGACAATCTGTCTCTTCATTTTTGTGGAAATCGCACATTTCTTTTGCTACACAGTATTTCTCATAGAAGAAAATCCGTGTCTTTCTGTCTGTATTTGGCTTCACCATCCCGCACCTCAGGCAGGCTGTGAGCCATCTGCTGAGAGCGCACTGACCTTTTATAGCTGCTCAGATCAACAACGGCTGCTTCTGGTCTATTCTAACTGATCTCCCATTGTGAAACTAAAACTGTTTAAGAGTCCCATCATCACATCCTGTGCCAGATTGACCTTGGCTCTGAGGAGAAACTGAAGCTTCGGTTCTGTTGTCTCTTCAGGTGATAAACTGGGAGAGCACACTCCACTTTCCCTCCCAGGTCACGCTGAGCCCTGAGGCCAGGGACCTCATCACCAGATTGTGCTGCTCTGCAGACCACCGCCTGGGGCGGGACGGGGCCGATGACCTGAAGGCCCACCCGTTCTTCAGCGCCATCGACTTCTCCAGCGACATCCGGAAACAGCCAGCGCCTTACGTTCCCACCATCAGCCACCCCATGGACACCTCAAATTTTGACCCCGTAGATGAAGAAAGCCCTTGGAACGACGCTAGCGAAGGCAGCGCCAAGGCCTGGGACACGCTTACCTCCCCCGGTAACAAGCACCCTGAGCATGCGTTTTACGAATTCACTTTCCGAAGGTTCTTTGATGACAATGGCTACCCCTTTAGATGCCCAAAGCCTTCAGCAGCAGAAGCTTCGCAGTCTGAGAACTCAGATCTAGAAAACTCTGATCTGGTGGAGCAGACTGAAGGCTGCCAGCCAGTGTACGTGTAGATGGTGGCCAAACACCACTGCTGGCCTCTCCAGAGGTCGGGCACAGCTGGTTCCTGTGTAGGCACACGGGGAGGCTGAGGGTTGCTTTGTTTTAGATCAGTCCGTTGACCACTTGAAATTCTGGTCTTCACTGAGAATACCCCAAACAAACAAGAAACATTTTAAAAAAGGACTCAAGTGTAACAAATCTTCATTTCTAGATTCTGGTTGGTGGGTGGTGGGGAGGGTCAACATTGCTATGAATTTGGCTTTTTTGAGGACCTTCACTGCATTAAAACAATATTTTTAAAAATTTAGTACAGTTTAGAAAGAGCACTTATTTTGTTTATATCCATTTTTTCTTACTAAATTATAGGGATTAATTTTGACAAATCATGCTGCTGTTATTTTCTACATTTGTATTTTATCCATAGCACTTATCCACATTTAGGAAAAGACAGAAAGTGAAGAACGTGATAAAAATCTCTGTGCAATAATGTAAAAAAAAAAGAACACTCTGCTCAGATGTCATGGAGACCGTTTTATCCACACAATGGTTTTTGTTTTGTATTTCTTCCCACATTTCAAAATTGTGGTATAATGTTAAAAGCTGCTTTTCTTTCTTTCTTTTTTTTTTTTTTTTGCATATTATAGTACAGTAGAAAGTGTGAGCAAGGTGACAATGTGGGTGTGTTTTCAGATGTCTGGTGTGTGGAGAGTACTGCATGAGCAGGGTTTTTTCTATTATAAAATTACCATATCTTGCCGTTCACAGCAGGTCCTGTGAATATATTTTTACCGAGTGTCTTTAAATGAGGTGTTCTAGAAGGTGTGCTGATAATGTATCGTGTGGGTGACTTCTTCGCTATGATTGTATCTCTTATTTTTGTTAAAGAAATGCAGATGTGTAACTGAGAAGTGATTTTTTTGTGTGTCTTGGGTATGATTGGATTCTTTTGGGGGTAAACTTAAACATTTATCATGTACTAACCTTGTATACATCAAAAGGGATTAATTTAGCTATGCCAAAAAATTTAAATTAATCATGGACATATGTCCATTTCTCTAGTCAGTATGCTCTTATGTGCTTGGTATAGCTGGTATGTGGAATTCCATAGCTAAGACCCTACTACTACATTTTTTCCCCTTACAGACAGCCCACACTGAAAGGTTAAATGAATGTTATTCCTCCTGTTGTCTTAGACAGCAGAGATGTTACCGTAATGATATTGAGTGATTTGATTTTTTTTCTTTCACATTTTTTAAGTGTGCTTTGAAGCATCAAATATTAACTTGGTTTTTAAACAATACATTTTTTCTAACCTTTGTAAAGAAGCAAAGATTCTTCAAAGTTACATTGGAATAAAAAAAATAATTAAGCCATACATATTTTCTTAGAAGTAAAGGTGTATATATAACTACATAGATAAACACACAAAGTATTTCTTATTTCAAATTAGTATGATTCCTATTTAAAGTGATTTATATTTGAGTAAAAAGTTCAATTCTTTTTGCTTTTTAAAAAATCTGATGCGTCATATTTTCATTGTATTATGCCACATATTTCTCCTTGAAGTTTTTAGCATAATGTATCCATTACTTAGTATACATCTAGGCAATAACACTTATACGTTTATCAGTGTCTAAACTAAAACAAAAAACAAAAAAACAATTCCCGTGTACTGGTTTACATTGTATGAAAGGCATATCTGAAGTCTGCTGTGCTTATAATCGTGACTGACAGTACTTTTGCTGTTTTATAGTAGTGCCATGTTGTTATTTACAGCGCTCTGACATACTTTTTTGTGGTAGGTTCTTTCTCAGGAACTCAATTTAACTATTATTTATTGATATATCATTGTCTTTGAAAAGCTTCTACTAGCACAATTTATTATTAAAAATTTGGATCCAAATCCCTTAGCTGGCATCATGTTTTATTGGAATGTGTAAGTTCTTCCTTGCGTCGCATGCGGTAGCTTCCCCGTCCTTCCCCGGTGATTCAGATGCAGCCAGGCTTGCGAACATGACAGAGCCACTGGCACAGAGGGGACGGAGAGGAACCTCTCAGACAGGGCTCTGTCTCAGGAGGGCCTGGGGTGTGGAGAAACGGGCTTTCCGGTCAGGCATACAGAGTGCAAATCAGGCCTGGTTCCATGACCAGCTTCTCTTCTGTAAAACGGGTACACAGTATACCTCATTAGGGTTGTTGAGGGCATTCCATGAGATATCAAAGATGGTAGGTGATAAGATGAATCATACATAGGAGCCAATCTCCATGCATGATACATTGAAATGGAGAGGGTGATTACAATCACCTGACCTTTCATTTAAAATAGTATTAAGAAATTTGGAAAATATTATAATTTGTTTTCTTTGGGTTAGTCTTCCATAGGTAAAATCACACAGTTTAAGAATCAAAACATGTCAAAAGATATACAAAAAAATGCCTCCTGCTTCATTTCCAGTCATTTAGTTCACCTCCCTACAGACAACAAATAATTAATAAGTTTATTGTGCACACACAGTACAAGAAAATATGTATCTGTATACTTTTTTGCCTCTTACAGAAATGGGAAGTGTTATGCATATTTTCTGTGTCCATTTCTTCACTTGACAATGTGTCAGGGCAATCTATGCCAGTACATAAAGAGTTCTTCATTCTTTATTATTACTGCGTAGTATTCCATTGTGAGGGTATTATAATCACATCAGTCCTGTGTTGATGGACATTCAGTGGTTTCTGATCTTTTTCTATTACAAACAGTGTTAGAATAAATAACCTCTTACAGCCATCATTTTGTGTGTGTGAAGGTCAGTTTGTAAGACAGATTCCTAGAGGTGGAATTGCTAGGTCAGAAGTTATCTTAGGGGCCAGCCCGGTGGCACACTCGGTGGAGTGCGGCACTTGGGAGCGTGGTGGCGCTCCCGCCGAGGGTTCGGATCCCATATGGAGACCGGTCTGCTCACTGGTTGAGCACGGTGCGGGCACGACACTGAGGGTTGCGATCCCGTTGCCGGTCACGAAAAAAGACAAAAAGAAAAAAAAAAAAAAAGAAGTTATCTTAGTCTGTGTCCTATTGCTTATAACAGAATGGCTGAAACTGGTTAATTTATAAAGAAATAATTTGTTTCTTACAGTTTTTGAGGCTGGGAGGTCCAAGTAGAGTAGGGGGCTGGTGAGGTCCTTCTTGGTGGGGACTCTACATAGAGTCCTGTGACAATGCAGGGTGTCACATAGCAAGGGCTGAGCAAGAGTGCATTTCTGCATGCTGCTTTTTTTTTTTTTTAAGAAAATAATTTTATTAATTTTTTTTACATTCTAGGATATTGTTGTGGAGCAGTTGGGAGGGAGGGGGAGAGGAGAAAGGGAAGGAAATGGGATGGAAGGAGGGAGGAGGAGGAGTGGGACTGAGGCCTGTGGTACCCCCACATTCCCAGAGGGGAGACCAGGGGGCTTCCAGCGGTGGCTTGTCATTGCCAGGCTGGGTGCAGATGTCAGAGGGGTGTGCAAAAGCCCTCGCCCCCCACCATCCCAGCTCAGGAACCCGAGGCCCTTCTTTCTGCAGCTTGGTGGTCATCACCAGGCTGGCTGCGCGTGTCAGGGGGTGTGGCTGAGGCCCTTAGCCCCCCACTGCCCCAGCTAGGGAGAGCCCGGGCGCTTCCTGCGGTGGCTCAGTGGTCATCACTGGAGTGGTTGCATGTGTTGGGAGGTGTGTCCGAGGCCCTTGTCCCCCACCCTCAGGACTGGCATTAGCCCAGGGGGCATGGCTGAGGTCCCCAGCCCTCCTCCCTTTCTGGCTTGGCCAGGGGACTTCCAATCCTTCTAGGTGTTATAGGTGTTCTTTGGTGATGTGAGACCTTTACTAGTTAATATCAAACTTTGTCCCTGGTTATGGGCACGTTGTTTTTTCTTTCAGTTCTGTGTTGGATTATTTGCTGTTCCCACCACTTAAACTCTGTGCTGGAACTAATTTGTTATCCTTTGCTTCCTTCTAAAATGGGGGAACTTCCTGTGGGGACCAGTGCTTGAGCCCTGTGGTTGAGCTAAATTGCTGCTTTGTGCTGATTCCCTGGGGAAGGATTTTTGTGCAGCTCAGATTTTAATGGTTGTCTTTATAAGTACTTCTGGGTCTAGTGAAATCTGGTGCATGTGGGTTGTGTAGAGACTCTGGTCTGGGCCTGAGTCTTTCCCTGAAACTGCACCCAATGGAATTCTATATTCCTGACCAGTCTCACTGAGTGGGCCTGTGCTGATTGGGGTGCAAATCAGCTGTCTTTGCTGTGCCCCAGTGTTTCCCCGCTGGACCCATCTCCCTCACCGCCTGTGCTTCAAATACTTTGCATGGGACTGGCTGTGCGCTGGTCCCTTGCAATGACTCACCGGCCTCTGAGTGGCTCCTTTTTCTCAGTTGTTGTGGCTCCTTGCTCCTATGTGGGTCCATGGGATCCCTATTAGTGGTCTTGCTGGCCTGGCCTGGGGGCCACCAAGGCATGCTTTCTTCTCTCCTTATAAAACCTCCAGTCAACTCCCTCATTCTCCACTAAACCATTAACCCATCAATCCACAAATGGGTTAATCTTTGAGGACATAGTCCTCATGATCCAATCACATCTTAAGGGCCCCCACTTTTCAGATATCATATTGAGGATTAAATTCGAACATGAGCTTTGAAGGGGACAAACATTCAAACCACAGCAAAAGTTAAGTGTCTTTGCAATTTTTATTGCCAAATGGTCCCGCATGTTGGGAGAAACTCCTCCAGGGCTGTCTCCCATACACCTTGCTGGATGTGCCAAGAATGCAGGGCCTGAGGACTCTTACCTGGGCCATTTCTCAGAGTTGGGTTTCCAGTGAGCTACTTTGAGGGAGAAGGTGTCTCTCTTAGGACAGAAAGCAAGTTAGCTTACTGCTTGCTATAAAAGAGGTCCATTCCCCACGCTCAGTGTACCTCAGCAGGATCCATCTGGGTCTTTCATGTTGCCCCCATGGAGCTTGGGGGCATGGGGGACTGATGCACACACTGCTTGCTGTGCTGTGAAAAATGGGGTCCTGAGGTATTGTGCCAATACATAACCCCAATGGAAATAAATATATGGGGGTGCACCTACACCTTTCCAACCACACAGGTCTTCTTAGCCTTTTGATCTCTGCTCAATTAAAAAAAAAAAAAAGGGCCAGCCTGTGGCTCACTCGGGAGAGTGCGGTGCTGATAACACCAAGGCTGTGGGTTCAGATCCTATATAGGGATGGCCGGTTGGCTCACTTGGGAGAGCGTGGTGCTGACAGCACCAAGTCAAGGGTTAGGATCCCCTTACTGGTCATCTTTAAAAAAAAAAAAAGCTTGGTGTAATTTTACTTGACATTTCTCTTATTTTGAAAGAAGTTGAGCATCTCTGTGTATGCTTAACCTCCATCTGAATATCCTTGAAAGTGATAATCCTAATGTTATGCATTATTTGAGTATTGGCTGCCTCAGAGAATCCCAAAAGATTTCCATCCCTTTCTCATTCTTCGTCTTCTCTGCCTGCTCAGCTAACGTGAACAGCAATTGGGCTCGTGACCAGACAGCAGATCACTGAGAACAGACTCCCTCAGTGTTTCTGACATTCCACAGGAGAGCAAGACTCAGCTCAGAGCCTCGCAAGGGCACAGCGAGGCCTGGTTTCAACATATTTGTGGTCATTGTTG